CTCTCTCTCTCTCTCTCTCTCTCTCTCTCTCTCTCTCTCTCACACACACACACACACACACACACACAGGGGAGAGACAGAGAGAGGAGAGAAAACGCATGGATGAAAAAACAAGCATCTGTAAATCGATGCAGGGATACTTGAAAATGTTACCAGAATATAATCAATGACTCATACTTGACAGAACTTATAAGAAGAAGAAAACAAAGAAAACCAAAATTGAAAAGCACCTACTGCTACGAAACAATCAACAACCCAGCCAGAAATTTATTTACAACAAACCAACCAAATTAAACAAAGAACCAAAGAATTCTTGGAATTGAAACCAAGCAATCAAGACTACCAAAAACCAAATGAATCCATCTCTCTACAAAAAGGGGACCCAAAATTATGTAGTAGAATCAAACACTCGCCATTATAGGCTTTTTTTTGTGGAACTTATGTTGATCCTTGACAGAGGCTGCCTTCTTACAACAGAAGAAGAACGAACAAGAGAAGGAGGAGGCGGAAGAAGGAAAAGGAGGGGACTTTTGTAGTTAATGTTGTCTTTCACCCACTCTTTCTCCACCGTAAGCTCTCATTCTCTTTCTCCAACTGGAACTCTCTCTCTCCCCAAAATGAAAAACATATAAAATTCATTTCTCAAACGTTCAGCATCAGTCACTGAGACATTCAACATTGTTCACAAAAATATACAAAAATAATAGGATAGAAAATAAAATTGCAAAAAAAAATACCTTAATTAGAGAGCGAAAACTTCTCGGAAAATTAGAAAGCCTTCTGTCTCTGCAAATACTCTGTATCTGCAAATACTCAACAGTCTCTACAAATCACAGTTACCATTGCTCTATTTATCAACCCAGCAGGAAGCTCGCCATTTCACCAGAAACCCTAGAAAAAAAAAGTATTTCAGAGGTTTCCACGGCAAAATGATAAAAACTTTGAGTGTGAGAGAGGAGCAGACGGGTTTGGGAGAGAGCAATACGAGGGTTAGAGACAGAGGGTTTGAAAAACTTTGAGCGTGATAGGAGAGTGCGAGAGTGGGTTTGAAAAACTTGAGTGTGAGAGCGGAGGAAACGGGCGTTTGGGAGACGCTCTACGAGGGTTTAGAGAGACATTATTCTGCTTTTTTCGGCGAATAGTGTTATTCTGTGTTAAATTTTGGGAACATTAATTTTCATGCTTTCCAAACAGGAAAATAAATATTGAACTGAACAAAGGTGAGGGTTATAAAAGAAGTTGGATTTTGAGCTGTCCCAAAAACAGAAAAAAGAAAAAGCCACTTGGTAGTGTATATTACACAAATAAAAGTTTGAAACAAAATATATATATATAAATTTTATTTTGTTAAATATGATTGTAGTAATATGCACTGCCCGTGTTACTATAGTGATTTAGATATCATCTTAAAATATGCTACATTATCTCAAAATATGTAACAACTTTATATGGTCAGAGTAAAAAGGACAATGTAGAGTATCACAACTTTATTTCTACTAATAAAGTTGTAACCTTGTACAAACCGTATAGAAAAATATTTATTTTGAAACTGCCTAAGTATTTTTTATTTGTCATAATTGGACTTTCAAACCACTCAAACATTTGTATTATTATATTTTGGACGATAAAATTGGAATAAAACTACTTGAAAATTATGATTCTCACCGCATGCTGGTCAAATACATGAACTATTTCTATTTCTTGATTCTAAATAAAAAAAAAAAATTTGGTTCTTTATACGAATTTCCCAAATTTTAATAGCTTGCTTGAGATGAGTGGGTTAGTGCCCTGTGTTGAATACGTTTGCCATTTTGAAATTATCTTTAAATTGGGTTAGTAGGTCAAGTGACTTCAATAATGGCTATTGGAAGTAGTATTTTGAGCCCATTGTCAAGTCTCTTACTCCATTCTCACAAAAAAGTGGGACCCAAATCCCCACTGACCTACCAATTTGGAAAGGGGCTAAAGTCGTGGTGGTAACACCCCACACCCTAATTACCTGTTGTAGTTTATATTCCCGTCACTAACACTGTCTCACTAATTCATAATATACTTGAGAAAATGGGTAGGGGCATCCACTTAATCACCCCAAAAAAATAGCTACTGAAAACTATCGATCCTATTGTCAAGTTGCAATAAGAATTGTTTTCAACGTATATGGTTAGCCAAAGAGAACTAGGGCTATATGGAAACCTGCATTTCGTATATAGTTATAGCTGTGAGTTGCTTGGGATTCTATCATTGGTATGGAATACGGCTCCATTGGATTGGAGGCCCATCTTCCAATCTATTTTAAAATAGGGAAATTATCGTTAATATATCTATATTTTACTATAATTGAAAAAAAAATCCCAAAATTTCAAAACATCACCTACACCAAAACCTCATTTATACCTTTTCTCACAATTTTTGGTCTTTTTTTGACCAAAATAACCTTTACAGTTGTATTTGTATCATAAATAATATTACGGTAATCTAAATACTGTAATAAGTTGAAGGAATATTACAGAAAATAAAATACCGTAATACCTTAAAGTAGTATTACTATTACGGTAATTTAATTACCGTGATAACATTATGGTAATTTAAATACCGTAATAAGTTGAAGGAGTATTACGGTAATTAAAATACCGTAATACCTTAAAGTAGTATTACGGTAATTTAATTACTGTAATATTGCTCACGTCTCATTAAAATAACACAAAGGATTTTATACTCTCTCGGGAGTCTACTATCTATTTACTCCCTTGACAAAAATCCATGTTAGCTGGATTTTTCAAATATCAAATTTTTACGATATAATCTCTACTACTTATAGAATAATTTAAGCAAAAGAAAATTTCCAAGTAAATTATTTTGTATATTAGAAAAACCTAACACTTTAATATTGAATAGAAACTATCAAATTTTCAAATAACTAGATTTAAGTGTCACGTAACTTACAATTAAATTTTTTAAAAAATAATTTAGTAAATTTTATATGGTTTTCAAAATTTTAGAACAAAAACATTATTAAATAGGTATTTTTATGCGAGGGAGTAGATCCACATCGTGCACCCATGAGAATATGGATTTTTTGAAAATTACAGCTTCCAAGAAGACTCCCGTGAAGAACCGAGGAGAAGGGTAATTCTAATATTAGCTTAGGTTTTAAACTTTTCAACCAATACGGGTTTGGAATTGATTGGGAAAGTATTACGGTAATAAGAATATCGTAATAACAATTCAAACTATTACCTTATTTAAATTACTATAATACTCTTTGAAATTTTTATAGTGTATTGATTACCGTAAAGCTTAAAATGTATTACGTTAAAAATACTATCGTGAATGTCATTTTGATAAATAAAAAAACCGAAATTTGGGAAAAAATGTGTAGCCGAGGTTTTGAAAAGTTAGGATTCTTTTTTTCAATTTTACTAAAGTAAAGGTATGTTAGCAATAATTTCCCTTTAAAATAATTAAACCTAAAAAATATTTTTAAATTTTATAAAAAATTATTTACAAATTTGTTACTAAAAAAAAGATAAAAATGGGTCACACTTTTTAAAATGATAACAAAATCCAATAATTTAATACATAAAATAAAATAAATAAATCAACAACATACCTTTAAATATACAAATGAGTATTGTTATGCACTAGAATTTTAGAATGAATCCCTGCACCATAAGAAAATAAGTACATATAATGATCAATAGACAAAAACTATAGGGAGTAAGTCCATAGCACCCACGGTTCACCCAAAAAAAGAACCTTACGGGAAGCCACCAGAGTTCATCGGAAAATGCATATCGTATTGTTATAGGAGTTCATATAACTCAACAAAACAAAAAATATTTTTAGGAATAAATAATGGGAAAAATTTATGTAGAGCCGAGGCTCTAAACAATTAAATTTGAGCGTACCTCAAAATTTTAATTAGAATGTGTCGTTTTGATGCTTAAATATCTTCAAATTGATCATCTCGACATCAAGATGCATGGACATAAGAAAAAATTGAATTTCAAGTTTTTGAAATAGTACATTTTGTAATGCATTTTTTGATTGTCAATTTTCAAAGTTGTAAAAATTTCATAGATACATCGATCTACACTATTTTTAAAAATTTAAACTTTATAAATAAATATAAAGATATGTTTTAAGGCTACCACAAATATTTCTGGGAGTGAAACACATTTTTTGACTCTATTTTGAAGGTAGGCTCTAATTTGATTCTTTAGAGCCTAGGCGCTGAACAAACCGCACCCATAAATAATAGATCTAAAACCATGGCCAAAACTAATTTTCGTCGAAGTGGTCCCGCGGGCTTGTTCTCCTTCTTCTTCTCCAAGGCAACCTAGCTTCTTCTTCAAGGCAACCTAGCTTCTTCTTCTGCTTCGTGTGTGTTCCCGCTTCTTATCCAAGGCAACGTGGTGAGGGAGAGACAACAATGGAATGCGTTTTTGGACTCGTAGGCGATGGGTTTGCTTTGATAGCTGCTGATACATCAGCAGTTCATAGTATTTTAGTTCATAAGCAAAATGAGGACAAGATTATGATCCTTGACGCCCATAAGCTTATGGGGGCGAGTGGAGAGAGTGGAGATAGGTAAAACGCCATTCTCTCTACTAATTGTTCGTTATCTTCTCTCTGATTTTTTTTTTTTTTTGAAAAGCCTCTCTCTAACTCTGGTGAAAATTTTTTTGAAGCCTCTCGCTTAACACTGGTGTTGGTGTGTTGCGTATGTGATTATGTTTTTTCTGGTTATTTTTTTGTCAAATTAATCTGGCTCATGGTTGTCGAACCCTACTTTTTTCCCAGCTATTTCATGTGCTCTCTGTTAATCAAAGATTTTTCCTTCAAACCCTAGTTTGTATTTGTTACAATTTATTCCTTCGAACCCTAGTTTGTTTTTCTTACAATCCCCTGATGATTTTCCTTCAAACCCTAGTTTGTATTTATTACAATCCCCTGATGCCCCTCTATAAGTGAAACCCTAATGTTTGATCCAAAGATTCTCTTCGGGAACTTTTTCTCATATGATATTCTTTCAATCAATGCTTGATAACTTCTTCTCATATGATCTCCTTTTAATGCTTGATTTTGTTTTGGTAGGATGCTTCCTTTCAAAGATTGTATTCTCTATGCTTTCAAAATCTCCTTGAATTCTTGTTTTGCTTATTGATTGCAGAGTCCAATTCACTGAATACATTCAGAAGAATGTTCATCTTTATCAATTTCGCAATGGGATCCCCCTGACTACTGCAGCCACTGCTAACTTCACTCGTGGTGAGCTCGCCACTGCCTTGAGGAAGGTACAAACTAGGGTTCTTGTCTACATTTGTATCTGTTTGTTATGTGGTTTGGATCTGTTTTATTACTCATCACCATTGCACTAGCTATTGATAGTTATTTGTCGCAGATTAGAAAAGGCACATTGAATTTCTACTAATATTTCATGTATGAGGAGTTTTATTATACCATCTGTAATTATGGATAAATGTTTGAAATAAAATGTATTTTTTGGATTATTTTTGTTGAGAACCTTGCACCGCTGCATGATTAAGAGCTTATCATTTTTAGTATTTGAGAAGTAGAATGAAGGTTCTTATTTGAATTTTGTGGATGTTACCTGGTATGGCTTTTAAATGGAAGAGGTTCCGAAGACATGAGTCATCGTCCAAAAATCATGAAATTTGAAAACATGCAGACCACAGCACAATTCAGAGGTGAAAATATATGTTGCATTTGTCTTCATCCGATGCAAAGTAGGGAACAACACCCTGTGAAAATCTCCTTGAAGTGCACATGATAATGGACTTATTGTGGACCCATCTAATAACTTAATAGTGTTTAACGCTTCCACAAGGGGGGCATTGATTGCTCAGTGATATTATTGCCGGTTAGGATGACTTATCCTCTGCTTCCGAGGCGTTTCAAACTCCCAAAAGCCTTGAGAAGGCCTTAACTGCCACATTATTGCTTTTGTTAAGAATATTTCCTACTCATTACTGCTAGGCCTAGGGTTGCCTATCATTCTAGTGTGAAAATCGAGTTATCCTCGGGATGAATAAATCCTATGCAACTTTGTTATCTGAGCAGCTATAGTTATATTAGCAACCAACCAGCAAAACACAACAGTTGGCATTAATCTAGTGCCCCAAAGCACTTCCTTGGTTATTGTCCAAGTGGTGACTTTGTTCATGATTTGCTCTTTCGTGCTTAAAGTATTCCTTAAAAGTATTTTTGTTATTCCTTCCAAATTCCCCAATATGTGGTTGTAGTGATCAATCCTCATAGAACTCTCTCCTTGTGAGGGAGCTTGCTCCAGATGTCTGCCATTGGAGCACATGTAGACCTAGACATGATCAGAAAAAGCTCAAATCTGATCATGTATAAAGGACCATTCCTTGCCAATTTGACTGTAAATGTCTTATTGTTTGGTTTCCTCCCTCAGCATAATATGAAATTTTGCGAACCATAAGACCACTCTGCTATTTGTGATCCATCTCGAGTCCTTTAGAAAAACTAGTCATCCAAACTATGGGGTCTCCATTTCAATCATCCCTTAGAAAGACATCACCGTGAAAAAGCATATAGCCAATATGCATATTTTTTTCTTTTTGGGTAATTGACTGCAATTCATAAATTTGTGAAGTTTAAGGTATGTGATAAACCATATGCACTTGTCTTGACCTAATGGGACTCATTTGCCTGATTACTCTTTGCTTCATGGTCAATGGCATGCTTCTAGGGAATGGCCTAAATTATATCCTTTCATTCTCTCTCAAAGCATTGGTAGACTTGCGTTTTAGGATATATTGCAATAATCACCCTAATGGAGCATCTGTCTCCTAGGCCTAATCCAAAAAAATCTGTCTCCTAGGCAGCAGTTGAGAAGACCAGTCAGTGCAGAAAATGAATGGTGATAATTTTGAAGGGTCACAGACTGGATGAATTTTTGTGTGATGGAAGTTAGTTATAGCTGAGGAGAGAGGGAGGATAACTGATTACGTTGCTTAAGAAAAAACATGTAGAGAGAGAACTGAGTGTGCTATTAGGAGTGAATGGGAAAAATGTCTCTTCTCTAATGTTCAATGGTGGGAGACAAAACCATAAAAAACACGAATACAATTAATAAGCAAAAAAGATAGCAGTCTTCGGAATGGAGTGTAGCAAGATCGATGATCATAAAAATGGCTTGTTTTTTCATACAGGTTCTTGGAGTCTGATATGCAAACATATTTACTTCCATTAGCACTTTGTACCCTTTTATGGAATTGACCCGGAGCTAATTTGTTGTTACCAATTATGGATTTTCTTCCTGACTTTTGAGTCTCAGAAATTCTGCCTCCTATCATGTATCTACTACTATCAAAATTGGTATTCTAGATCTTAAATGATTCGGAATAGAAAAAGCATTTTTATTCTTAGAAAATATTATAAAGGTCAGGCCCTATTAGGGACTCTTGCACATTACATGTCTGTACACACTAACATCTCCCACCTAGTCATGAAAGTTAACTGCATCAATATGTCATAAAATTATTTCCCACTTTGTGATTTACCTTTCATACTATTATTAATAGATTACATTCTCCTCATCACCTCTAGCTTCACGTCGCTGGGATGTTCACTTTTTATCCTGTCACTGTTTGCAGCCACCTTGTTGCCTAAATGTGGGCAACTTTTAGTGCAGTCGCAATTTGGTGGGCCATCTCGGTCAACCGAGGAAGCTCCCTTGATATATACCCAATGGTTATAATCATGGATGGCATGATTGCAACACCTTTGACAGTGGGTGAAAATTTGGAAATGTTTCCAATCTACTGGCTTGATGCGACTGGAAATTGCCAAGGAATTTGAATGGCAGAATGAAGAGAAAATCCACGTGAGCCTGGACAATTCCTCATGATGAAAATCTGCCCATAAAGGATTATATATATCCTAGATGCATATTTGCAGGGTCGAAGGAATTGTGCACAATTTAATTGCGAGTGATGAATCCTTGATACTATATAAAAACCTCATGACAAGGTGCTCATCAAGGGTAAATTTGACGAGTGTCCGGAAATTCTAGTGTGTTAGTGCATTTGCTCATGTTTGGCCATGTTCCCTCATGGCACCATTACTTTCATATTGGAGCTCTTCGGTAATTCCCTTGAAAATAGGGAGTTGACTTGTTTTGTCTTTCTGTTATCGTCCTTCTGTGATATAAAATATTTTAGATGCTTACAGTTCAAAAAAAAATAAAAATAAAAATTGAAAGCTTATTTTCTACTCTAGTGGATGAACACAAGGAAATGAAATTCTCAAGGGCTGTTTATTAGAAGGTCTTCAAATAATTTGAACATCAGCAATGAGCAAATTGACTTGAGCTTCCCCCCATAAGGGGGGATCAAGATAGGTTAATTGAAGCTTATTTTTATGTGAGCCACTCTCCAGGTATATGTTCATGTAAAGTTTAGTGAATTTAAGATAGAATATTTTAATTTATGGTAGGTTGGAGAATGGGAGAATGAGCTCTATTGAGTTCTGTTAGTGATAGGGAAAGGTGATTGGATGTGTAAATGGAGGTGGAAACATTGCAGAACAAGTCACCAAAAGCTAGAAGTTCGAGTTGATGAAGAAGGATAGGATTGATTGTCTCAAATGGATGTGCTTGAGTAATGGATTGGAAGATTGTCTGGTGATTGGGTGCTGAGGTCTCCTAGTTCAGTGGGATAGCGTTTAAAAATTGATTTCATTGCTTCATATTACTTCTCTTCAAGGAGACGTGAATGTATGATTGATGAAGCATGAATATGTGATTTTTAAGGCTGTTCCCTCTTTCACCTTTATTGAATGCTTTTAGTTGCATAGCGTGTTGTATGCCCCACCTCTTTTGTGCATCTAGGTTCTTGCATACTTGGCTGCAGGTCATCTTGCTGCAGGATAACGTCTCCTTTAACTAGAATTCAAGCCATCCTGTTCATGGGCTCATTTCCGCTACAAGTCATTTATTGATTAGGATGCTGCAGGTTATCTAGCTGCAGGATACCGTCTCCTTAAATTGAACTCAAGCCATCCTGTTCATGCGATCATGTCCTCTACATGTCATTTATTGATTAGGATGCTTGGCTTTAATGGATGAATTATACTCACATGATTCACATACTTGTATGTGGTATTTAGCTTCGATTGAACTTTGTTTTTTTCCCGTGTGTCTTTTATGTGATTCCATGTGCTTGCGTTCAGTTCTACTTCCCTTATGAGACGTGAAGTCCCTTGGTTTTGTAATGGAGCGCTTATCAATGAACAAATTGAGTTCTTCCCCTCATTCTCTTTGGGAGGGTTTCATGGCTTGAGAGACAGAGAGGCTCAGTTATATTCGGAATCCTGATGGGGCTTTGACTATTGCACCTATGAAATCCATTGGATATCTGATAGTGGGTTTCTAATTCTCGATGTGCTGATCAGGTATGTAGAGAGACTCCTATTCTAAAAGGTATAAGAAGTGGTGGGGAAGAATTCCTAGGTGGAAGGTGGTGCTGGAATTAAATAATCTGTGACTAGAAGGGGGTATGGGGTATAATCAAATGCCCTCCAAACCATTTCTTTATTGTGAGTGTAAGGGATATTATCAGTAACTAGAAAGCCATTTCTCTACTGAATCCAATCCATTTCTCACCTCTGGGATGCGCATGCATGCACACACGCCAACTACCAGGAAAAAAAAGGAAAAAAAATAACTATAGCTGCATAAATCTGACTCATTAAATATGTGAACACCGAACAAAATGACATCTAGATACGTCAGGGATTTGGGATTTTGCTTTTTGCAATATCCATGAAGTTTCACGAGTATTCCGTTCCATTATTTGTGAAGTGTAAGCATTTGAATTTGAGGAATAAGAATTCTAGAGTCCTGTTGGTTGCATGTATTGCTCCTTGTCTGGTCTTTCTCTATCATATTGCTTTTTGTTTTTCCTTCGTTCGATAAGTAATATTGCTGTTATGGTTGCATTTGTCTTTGATCTCAGGGTGTTGATATTTGTATCAGTGCTTCAGTCTTTGATCTCAGGGTGTTGAATTATACTCACATGATTCACATACTTGTATGTGGTATTTAGCTTCGATTGAACTTTGTTTTTTTCCCGTGTGTCTTTTATGTGATTCCATGTGCTTGCGTTCAGTTCTACTTCCCTTATGAGACGTGAAGTCCCTTGGTTTTGTAATGGAGCGCTTATCAATGAACAAATTGAGTTCTTCCCCTCATTCTCTTTGGGAGGGTTTCATGGCTTGAGAGACAGAGAGGCTCAGTTATATACGGAATCCTGATGGGGCTTTGACTATTGCACCTATGAAATCCATTGGATATCTGATAGTGGGTTTCTAATTCTCGATGTGCTGATCAGGTATGTAGAGAGACTCCTATTCTAAAAGGTATAAGAAGTGGTGGGGAAGAATTCCTAGGTGGAAGGTGGTGCTGGAATTAAATAATCTGTGACTAGAAGGGGGTATGGGGTATAATCAAATGCCCTCCAAACCATTTCTTTATTGTGAGTGTAAGGGATATTATCAGTAACTAGAAAGCCATTTCTCTACTGAATCCAATCCATTTCTCACCTCTGGGATGCGCATGCATGCACACACGCCAACTACCAGGAAAAAAAAGGAAAAAAAATAACTATAGCTGCATAAATCCGACTCATTAAATATGTGAACACCGAACAAAATGACATCTAGATACGTCAGGGATTTGGGATTTTGCTTTTTGCAATATCCATGAAGTTTCACGAGTATTCCGTTCCATTATTTGTGAAGTGTAAGCATTTGAATTTGAGGAATAAGAATTCTAGAGTCCTGTTGGTTGCATGTATTGCTCCTTGTCTGGTCTTTCTCTATCATATTGCTTTTTGTTTTTCCTTCGTTCGATAAGTAATATTGCTGTTATGGTTGCATTTGTCTTTGATCTCAGGGTGTTGATATTTGTATCAGTGCTTCAGAAGTTTACTAAATTAACAATACAATAGAGAGAAATTTTTGTATCTCGATTCCTTTTGTTTTTTCTTTTTTTATAGGTTGGGCACGGCAGTTCTACTCTCTATAATCAGTTTATATCTATGATTCATAATAATCTTTTTCCCATGCAGAACCCTTACTTTGTGAACATCCTCCTAGCTGGCTATGACAAAGAGACGGGTCCATCTCTCTACTTCATTGACTACATAGCTACCCTCCACAAAGTTGATAAGGGGGCATTTGGATACGGATCTTACTTTTCTCTGGCAATGATGGATCGTCACTATCACAGGGGCATGTCCTTGGAAAAGGCTGTGGACCTAGTCGACAAATGCATAGTGGAGATTCGGTCCAGACTTGTAGTGGCTCCCCCCAATTTTGTCATTAAAATCGTGGACAAAGATGGAGCGAGAGAGTATGCATGGCGGGAAACCGTGAAAGATGCAGGTGCCCCGCTTCCCTCTTCTTAAAGACTAACATGATATCTAGGTTCATTTCGCACTCTTAAAAACAAGAGGATGTATGTTTGAATTGTGCTCTTGTTTTGGATAGAATGGGATTTATAAAATTTCAGTTTGATTGCTTAGAATGTTTTAAGCCTTGATGATGTGGAGGATTATTTTTCTTTCTAAACTGTGGGTGATATTTGCATAAGAAATATATAAGGGCAAACTGTTCTTATACTCTTGAAATCGCGAATTGGTGACAGTAAAATTGCTTGAAAAGCGGTTGGGTGGGGTAGGTGGTGTCTCTGACCAGCTGAGAGAGAGAGAGAGAGAGAGAGAGTGGCTTAAGCATATCATATGCCAGTGTGTATATTGCGTCGTGCTATTCCCGGATTATATCATCAGGTTTTTAGTATGGGATTGGAAGTCTTTTGGGCGAGAAAAAGTCCCTGCATTTTTGGACAATGAAGGTAAAGAACTTCAAAATACATCCAAATTAGATTAAAAGTTTTCAATTTAAGATAATTTTGTTATAGGAGAAACCACTATAATGACGAGTAAAAGATTATGGGAAGGCAGTCCCTTGTTTTTTAGCTCTAGTGGGGGGACCTTTTCTTTAATATGACCTTCAGAACCGGCTGATCGGACTGGGCAACCACCGGTTTGAATGTTACTCGGCATATTTAGGTTTTGCAGTTTGGGAAAAAGACTGATGATAATGAAGAATTTGGGACCGCTAAAGTGACCGGTCAATTTACAATTAGTTCGATTGTTGGTTTGATCTAGTAGTTTTACTCGGGATGAGGTTGTACGATGTACAACTGGTGAACACTACATGTTTAAATGAATGATTAAAATTTGAGCAAAATGCCCATTATAAAAAGTTATTATATAAAGTAAAAAAGTTATTCTATAGAGGAAAAATGTTTATATAAAGTGTCCCCGGCTCACCATTGCAGTAAGGTGTACCTTTGAAAATCTCTAGAGAGTGTTATGCGGTTAGAAAACTCTCCAATTGATTATCTCAACCTCGAGAACTCTCCAATTGATTATCTCAACCTCGAATTGTATGAATATAAAAAAAAAATTGAGTTCTAAAAATATTACATCTTATAACAAGTTATTTGGACTACTCGATGTTATAACATCTTATAACAAGTTATTTGCATTTATTTTTAAGATTTTGAAGTGTTTATAGATTTGTTCGATCTGCGATTTTTAAAATTTTAAATTTCATAACTAAAGACAAATGTAGATTTTCTTGCCAGCCCGAAGGCTTTTGACATCAAAACTATATCTCCATGCAAAATTTTGAGGTACGCCTTATTTCAATGAATAAGGTCACAGCGGCTCAAATGTATTTTATTTTTAATTTTTATGCTATAAATTATTTTGAAATGAAATTTGGGCCATGCATGCATCTAATATGCTAAAAATAATGGAAATATTTTTATGGGAAAAGTTTATATAAGGTTGTAACCTTAAAATGTAGAATTAGAGATGCCCCTCAAAAATCGATCGGAAATATTGTTTTAATGTTGAAAAAGCCCTTTAATCAATCATCTCGACATCGAAATCTATGAATATGAAAAAACAAAGTTTTTTAATATCAGAAATAGTGCATCTTGGAACGTATTATCTAGACCATCCATTTTCGAGATTTTTATATATTTATAAATCTACTGAATTTTAACTATTTTTGGAATTTAAAATTTTCTAATTAGGTATTAAAATAGATTTTAAAATAATACTAAGAATTTTTTACAACAAAATTATATGTTATGATTAAATTTTAAGGTACGCCTTAATTGGATTGTTTAAGGTTGCAACCTTATAGAAACCGCACCCATTTTTTATAGTATAAAATTATACCCTTGAAATTTCAAAGGGTTTTTGGTCATTTTATTTAAGGGACCAGAATGATTGTAACCTCTATGTTCAAAAGATAAATGGTCTATTTGTAGACAATCCAAAAAATAGCCCAAATTCCACTCAATGATATTTTGTTAAAAAAATAAAAAATCAAGGAGTGCTTTAGCATATGACACAATATAAGTGATCCCAGCCATGGGTCTCGTATACATTATACGGGTGGGATCACATACAAAACTTTTCCTTTATAAATTTCACCCTTATATAGAATTTTCCTTTATATAAATGGTATTAAACAAACTTTTTTTTTTATACAAGGGATTATATGCAATGAAACCATTTATCTTTGATACAAGGTGGTTACAATTATTTACAAACATCCAATATGAAATTTGATAGTTTGGATGTATTACAAAGTTCAAAAAATTTTCATTTGAAGTTTGAGCTTGGTCAATGGAATAATTACAACCACCCAATTTCACATTCAATTGTCAATATTAATTTGACCACCTTGTACCAAAGGTAAATAGTCTCATTCTATACTTTCCTTTTATATAATGGAAAAAGTTTATATAAGGTTCCAATCTTAAAATGTAGAACTACGGATGCACCTCAAAAATCTATCAGAAAATGCTGTTTTAATGTTGAAAAACCATGTGATTGATCATCTCGACATCAAGATGTATGACTACGAAAAATAAAAAGATTTTGAGTCTCAAAAATAGTGCATCTTACAACATATTATCTACACCATTCATTTTCAATATTTTCATATGTTTATAGCTCTACTTGATTTTAACCATTTTTTAAATTTAAAATTTTATAATTAGATATAAAAATAGATTTTAAGATAATCCTAAAAATATTTTACATCAAAATTATATATTATGATAAAATATGAAGATGCACCTTAGTTGGATTATTTAAGATTGCAACCTTATGAATACCACACCAATATATAATTGACCTTAAGAAGAGTATTCTAAACAAGAATTCAGAAACAGTGAAAAGGCACCTAAAGCTTTTGCCTTTTACCTTGCTGCTTACATTACAAGAAAGAAACATCGACTTTTTCCATCATTCTTGAACAAATTTGCTTATCCTAATACTTAAGGAAGTTCGTTCTATGCCATTTTTCTTACTCTTACTCTAGCTTCTCTCTCTCTCTCTCTCTCTCTTTCTATCTCAAAATCCTCTCTCTCTAACCATATTTTTACCTTACTCTCTCCTATCTCTTGTGTGCTTTCTCTCTGACTTATTTCTCTCTCTAAATGTATCATTTCTATCTAACTCCTTGATCTACCTTTCTCTCTCAAGCTCCTTTTTTTCTAAATGTTTATTTTTTATTTCTAACACCTTTCTCTAGGTCTTTTCACTCTAATCCTATCCTTTGGTTTTCTAAGTTCATTGACCTTCACTCTACCTCTTTTCTCTACGTCCCTTTTCTCTCTCTGATGGGTGTATTCCCTTTCTATTCCTTTTTTTTATAAGATTACGAAGCTTTATTCAAAAATGGAGTAAAGCATAAATTATAATACATAGCCCCTACAATTTCTTAAGAGATTAAATAAATACCCCTCTTTAGCTAGCAAGTCTGCCACTTCATTTGCATATCAATAGACATCATTGAACGATACCTCCATACCTCTTCATAAATCAACAATTTTTGCCCATATTAGAAAAAGTTGCCCAGGGGATTTGCTCTTATTGGTACACTGATTTATGACATTTTGAGAGCCCTCTTCAACCAAACAATGGATTCCCCAAAAATTTATCCTTCAGTAACTTTAAACCATGTAAAGCTGCCCGAATGATCCTATATATAAGGGTCTATAGGGTTGGGATTAAGCTAAAGAGAATAAGCTCCAATCTAAATCGCCGAATGATCCTTTGTATAGGGGTCTATGGGGTTGGGAGTCAAATATGACTATCATATGGGCCACATGATCCTATATATAAAGAACTTTAGGGGGAATTGAGTTGGGATCCATACTATCTTAAAACTGGTTTAGTCTGAACATTTTCCATTCAAATTAGAGATCTAAATCGAAATTACCAGACTCATGTGAAAAGTCAAGTTTCTCACTGTGGTGATAGGTTGGTCAAAAATTTAGTATTGTAGACACCCCATTGTTGAATTGATTTGGTGTTCCAATTTGCCTTCAAACCTAAAAATATTGCTCAAAATAGGTCTAATTCACCTAAAAACCCTGCTATAGACCACAATGAACCAAATGATCTAAAGGTGATTATATTCTGAAGTCCCATGCTCTGGTACAACCATGTGTGGCATGGTTCCACCAAGGGATGAAGAGACATGTGCCCCCACTTGGCTTTGCCGCGTTCTAGAAGCCTTTCCAAATCGAATTGGTAAACTTTGGATTTAAAATTTCAGCTTTCAAAATTCAATTTGTTTTAAATATTCTTTATTTTCTCATCTCTAAATATAGCAAGGAACTATTTATTTAAATTAAGGGATTCTATACTGTGAGACTACTTTTTTTTGATACAATGAGGTCACAATCATTCAAAATTATTAGATGTCAAATCTTAATGCTTAGGTTGCGGTGCATAGATTGAAAATTTTTCTTTTGAACTTTGAACTTGATTAATGACATATTCACAAACATCTTATCTTAAATTTAACAGTTATTGGTAATTATGATCTCCTTGCATCAAAGATAAATATTCTTATTTTGTATTTTACCTTAAATTAAAGGTTCTCAATTTTCATAACTCAAAATATTTAGGAAAAAATGAAGTTTCATATTTTAGAGAGGCTGAATTGAAAATACTTTAACTTTAATTTTGGAAATTTCCCTTTAAAATCCATTAGTCAAGGCATGTTCAGTACACATGAAGATATTTTCAAGTGAAAGAACTGCCTCCAATTGATGTGAAAAACTCTCATATCTAATCACTAGGGGGAGTTCTTAATGGAAGTATTTCACGCGTACTGACGTGCCCTTAGGGTTTATTGACTTTGAAATCAATGAAAATGTCAATCAATTTGGTGGGGGTTGTGTGCCACGTATTATGGCGACTGTGAGGCGGGGTCCAATACGTGGCATGACCGGAAAGATGGCCCACACTGCCCATTTTGGAGAGGTAATAAATTAGTGTTTGCCATATATAATTACCCACTTTTCAACCTGATTTGGGACCCAATTGGTGCTTTTCTTAAATAATCCTAATTTCCAAAACTTTTGCCCTAACCATCTTTGCTCCCTAAAATCCCAGCACCACAGGCATACCAAAAGCCCAAAGCTAAGCATCAAAACCTTGACCCATCCAAGAACCATTGGAAACCCTAGATTGTCAATCCTTACCAGTATTTCAATCTCAACCAAGTCAATCAATCTAGACATTTATATTCAATTCAATTTCAAGTCCAAGTAAGTAATATTCAAAATTGGAGAGGATTTAGTCAAAATTTGCCGATTTGATCTGGGCCCCAACTCCAAGTGCCTGACCAGTAGGCCCAACTAAGTAAGTTTTTCATCATTTTCTTTGATTTTGTCATCTTCTCTCCATTTTTTATGTTCTTGTTTGATTCTTATATTTAAATTATCAAGTTTTAAGTGAGAGACTGGCGCAGTCAGTGATTCACATAAAAGACAATGGATCATAATTTGGTTGTTCATTATAATCTTAGTTTTCACTAATCACATAAAAGACAATGGATCATAATTTGGTTGTTCATTATAATCTTAGTTTTCACTAATCCAAGGTCTAAATCTTAGCTAACACATATCATAGATGAGAGATCTTGGACTTCTTATATCAGATTTGGGTATAAACACCCACTGAACACGTTCAGTAACAAAACATATAAAAAGAAAAAGAAAAAAACTTTGGCCCAAACCCAAATCTAAATTGCAACCCCTTATGGCTCAACTAGCTGTACATGTTATGAACATGTGGTGGAAAGATTTGGCTAGAAAAATAAAAGTAAAAAGATTGGCGCAATCCAAAATCTCAACTGCGGCCTACCATAGTTCCATTGGTTGCGCTTGTATGTGTATGTGTCTGTGTGTAAGTCTCAATCAAACACAAATTGAAAGCACCCTAAAAGGCCCCTAAGTCTTTTACCCTTCAATGTTCTCTCAAGGCTTAAGGAACTTTCCTGGCTTGATAGCCATTGAGAATCTTGTCTCAAAGGTATTGGGTAACTAAAAAAACCCCTCTTGGCCATACCTCATGAGCTGTACTTTACCATATATTGGAAAAATGCTCAAATAAATGGTGAAATGCTATATTTACTTTTAAATACCCTGTAAAATATTAATATCTTTATTTATTGGGAAATATACCTAAATATTCATATTTTAGGATATTTAAAAAAATGTCCAAGAAACTTTTGAAATTTATATTAATGTCCCTTTTTCCGTTTACTTTATTCTTTCCAAAATGCCTTTTAGTTTGGTACTCTTGCAAAAACACTATTAGGTACTGATATTACCAAATGTATTCATGTTTTTAATAAAGTTTGGTACAACAAAAAAAAAAAACCGATAAATTGATTCTTTTAAGTTTTAAATGTTTAGTACTCTCAGTATTGAACTATTGTTTTTTTTCTTATGTTAAGCGCTCTTAATACTGAGTATTCCGGGTAGGCACACCAGAGTCATGTACAAAAGCTCAAAAAGGGTGGATTTTTTTTTGTTTTTAAAAATGTGCAAAAAAAAAAGTCTAAAAATAAAGAAAAATCCATAAAAAGTAAATTAAACAAATAACAACACCCAAAGTCTAAAAAGGATGGGAAAAAGCATATAAATGATTGAATATGGAAAAAAATTAATTTATAAGTGGAAAGAAATAAAAAAAATCCAAAAAAAGAGAAAAATACAAAAACTATAGCATATGATAAGAAAAACCTGCAAATCATCATTAAAAAAATTAAAATTGTTTAACCATATTTATATATTGATTTAGTAAAAAACCATATATATTTTTTAATATATATTCCTAATTTGTAACCAGGAATCATCTCGCCAAAGTGCTACGGCCAAAGTAACTCGACCAAGTTTTAAAACCTTGGGTAAGCTCAACTTTAAAAGTTATAACAGTAATAACAGACTATCATCAATTAGATATGTATCAAGATCACCTGTAAATGACAAATACCACACATTAATCAAGTGAAAAGTTAGAATCTTTATTACACAGCCCAAGAACACAAACCAAATGTCCAAATAGGGATAATCCCTAACTTTTATGTAAAAAGTCAAATTAATAACTTTATTGTTTTAACATGGAAATATGAATATTATAACGTCTATAAAATGATAAGAGACGGGATTTGTCCCTGCTAAAAAATGTCCCCCCCCCCTCTCCCCCTTCTCTAAAATAAATTTGAGCCTATATATATAATGATTTTATAGGACCCTCCCCCACCCATATGTGTAGGACGTCAAATGATCACCATTAAAGTTGGCACAGATCTCTAAAAAAGTTATCACATGAGTGTAGGATTTGATATTTCTAAAGATCTGTGTCAAATTTAATGGTGATCATTTTGGGTCCTACACACATAGGTATGAGAAGTCTCATAGGATCATTACTTATATATATATATATATATATATATATATACTACCTACCCTACTCACTATAGTAGTAGGTACGTACGTAAGACGTACACGTAACTTAAAGGTTACGGTACAACGAAACTATACGTAATAAACG